GGTGCCCCATCTCGAAGTCGAAGGGTTCTGAATAGCTTGTAATACAGACAAACTGTCGGTAACAATGACGGTTTTGAGTTTGTTTTTATGGGCAAGATTCGCAGCGTGAAGGATAGCTCTGGCTTCGGTTGTGAAAGTTGAAGTACTTTTGTGAAATATGTGATTGAGAAGAACCCGTCCTGTAGCATCTACCACGGCACAAGCAGGAGGCAGGCCAAAGGATTTTGAGCCGTCTGTGTATAAAAGATTCCAACCAGTACTCTCCAATACTTGGGTTTTCTCAGCTATTAGATTCCTGAAAACATAATTTGGAGTATCTTCTTTCTTGTGCATAGACAGCGAGATGTCAAAAGAACAGTCTTTCAAAATTCATGGAGGTTGTAAGGAAGCGTTTTTGCTTCCTTACGAAATACAGGTCCGTCCGCTTAAAAATCCGCAACCAGCAAGTCCGATCTGTCCGCATGACGTTCTGCGAACAATACGCGAGCAGCCCCCTCCAACTTCAAATGCAAAATCATAAAAACACCCACTAATTATACCTTGTAGAGATAAAATCATAAAACACACACTAAGTATACAAATGTGCATTTTTTTTGATTTTTGTATAGAAATTTTAGCCCCTGAGGAGTTTGCCTATGTAGACATCTCTCGTCCAATAGATTCGAGGATGTTGATTGTCTTCGTGTTGTCTTTTTCTATTGTAAAAATGTATACATCGCCCGCGTAGAGACAATGCTCAATTCTGCTCGGTACACGGCAAAGCATTTTGCTAATTTCATTGGAAGCGACCTGGAAAAGCGTGACAGAAAGGGGAAACCCTTGTGGAATGCTTTTCATTAGCGGAAAGGAATCAGAAAGATGATTGTTGATTCTAACTTTAAACGGCCGATGCGACATGAATGATTTAATGTAGTTGAAAAATTTGGGTCTAACATTCCATGATTTCAAGAATCTTAAAATAACATGAAGACCAACTCTGTCAAATACTTTTTCGAAATCAATCAAGAGAATTGTTTTATGATTCCTTTCGGAAATTGCTTTGCTCGTAAACATAGCACTGATAGGACGAATTTGGCCTGTTTTGCTGGAGTAACACAGGACTTTGAAAGTTTATGATCGATTATGATTGAAAAGTGACCATTAGCTGATCATCAGAAACAGGCCAGGAAACCAAAAGAAGAAGTGACGGAGAGCAACATATTAAATCAGTATGAGAAAAGGGGTGATGAGTTGAAAAGTGCGTTGGTTTTCCATAATTTAAAATGCAGAGATTGCTTTGAATGAAAGCCTTTTCTAAAGAAGTACTAAGTGGAACTTCTACAATGGGTTTCTTGAAGGGTTACAAGGTTTCGATTAAAATCACTTATGAGTGCACGGAGTTCATCAAAATTATTAATAAGTCCCTTAATGGTCCATTGTCAAATTTTAAAAACTTTATTTATTGTAGTGACGTGGAAACAGAGCGGTAGGAGGGTTAAGTTGACATGTCTGTCGAAAAGCTCGCCATAGGAATTTTGCGTGAACAATTTGTTTTTACCAGGAGAATAATCTGTGCTTAGGTGGTTGCGTACATTTGAAGTGCAAAGAGGGCGTACGTGACTAATTTGAAATTAAAGGTTGATTAAGGGATGAGAGATTGGATTCAACACAACTTGTGATTTGTTGACTAGAGTTGAGAGCTGTTGATTCTGGGGAATTTAGTTTATTAGATTTTAGGATACGCGGTGTTGTTTTAATTTGTTCAATATTTTTATTGTTTTGACTTTTTCAATATTATCTTTGGCGGGTGGTGGAACTGGTTTCGCAATATAATTTATGTTTGATGGCAGAACGTAGATTAGATTCGTTGGAAGCAGTTGGAGTTAAAGGCTTATTAGGCTCGATTTGCGAGGCGACAGCAGCGTAGGTTTAACTTTTGTCAATACTTTGGATTCCAGATGGATTTCTTTCCCGGTACGTGCGTCGCGCTTCACCCATGCTACAGTAATTTTCTGTTTTGATTTTTAGAATTTCACGCATTTGTATAAAACGTGGGCAATGTTTGCCTAACGCCGGGTGTTGATCATTGCAATTTAAGCAGAAACTGCGG